CAGCCTCTGAAGAGGCCCTGGAAGGCCAGCAATGAGTCACTTCCAACTCGACGGTACATACCAACAATGAGCTGGATTGTAGAGTCTGTCAATGCTTTCATCAACCTTTGTTCAAAGTTGTATCCTGAGCTCCTAGAAAAGTGCCTCGCAAATCTCAATGCCTGAGACATATTTGTGGGGGAGCCAGTGACTGACAGAGTATGTGAGTGAATAAACACACTCATAGACAAGCAGGCTCTCGGTTCCCAGCAGGTGAAGAGCAACTGGCCAGAGTGCGAACTGGCGGAAGGACTCCTTTTCAGAGTGTAACACCTCCTGCTCACACACCTTGCAGACACAGAGAGGCCTGATGCGTTCTCCAAGTGCCAGTCTGAAAATGAACTGCAGATTCTCTTCCTTTCAAATAAAAAGCCATCCAGTGCCTTTCACAGACCATCAGGCCGGGTGAAGCCCTCTTGCTTTGGGATGCCTGCACTCTGGCCGGGCATCAGATATTAACGAGCTCTGGGGCCTTGGGGAAGTTAACTGATGAGGGCAAGTTAATTCATGAGGATCCAGTAGAATGAATGAAAATAGATTTTCCTACAACTGTAAATATCTCAGCAATGAGTGAGAGTAAAGCACGCCCAGCTCTGCATGATACCACCCCCCCACCGCTTCTTTCCTCAACCAAGAATTGGACATCGGGGTTGAGGAAAGACAGAGAGGGAGGGGAGGAATGATGTAGATGGTATTGAAACAGATGAGGGAGAGAACTGTTTAAAAGGGAGATATGATTAGGTATTGTTGTCATGACAGGAGTCCAGAATGAAGGCTGCACAGTGGAGTGGATTTGGGGGGAGGGACTGCATAAAAATGAAAGAGTTTTTCTTTTACTTTTTCAAGGAGAAGAGTGAACTGGGGGAGGGGGTGGACAGGGAGAAAGTGCAACAATGAATGATTGGAAACCCTAAGTCTCTGTAAACTTTCATTAATATTAATTAAAAAAAAAAGAATTGAAAATCAACGTCCACATTCTAACACTTCAACTTCCGAAAACAACTAAAGGTCTTATCTAGTTCTTTCTCACACAAACAATGGTAATAAAAGTTTGCAGTGAACTAATTTTTATTCTCTATCCCAGGTGATAAGCTGAGACATGATTCCAAGCCTGCAAAAGCAATTATAGCCCTGAGCAAATGAAAAATCTTTGTCTACACAGAACTGAAGGACACACGATTCTTCACCTGTCACTTGCTGGAGCCCAGGCGTCACTGTGAAAAGGCTAGCTTTTTAACGGTGTACAAGTCACACAGGGACAGAGGCTCCCGGATGGTGCCTCCTCGTCACAGCCTGCCGGGTCCGAGCTCTCAAAAGTGAACTTGCAAAAGCACCGGGGACAACCAGACTTGAACTGGCTACAGTACTTTTCTTCATACCACAACGCTTTGCCAACACCATGTGCTTAGCATGTTCTTATTGCTGGTGCAAAGGACATACTTCATGACCTCACAGAGCTGAAGGTCAACACAGCCCAGTGGGAAAGGAAAAAAGGGGTACTGGGTAGGCACCAGAAGGGGTTCAGTTACGAGAAAAAGAAGAAAAATATAATGACAAAGAAAAATGGTTTAAAATGTGATTAAATTATCGAAATTACTATCTAGAGACCAATCTCTTAAATATTAATAGTGCGTTTATCCTAGATATCCCCATTCCACTTGGGTGTGGGTGTGTGTGGTGTTTAATTTTTCACTTTTCCTTTTCATAAAAATGAAAATACACTTTATTAAATTACAGTCTCTGAAGAAGACCTTTTAGAAAAGAACATTATAATCCTTCATGTTTATCCATTTGTAAATGGGTTTCAAATTGGCTTTTTAGATAGCCACACTGTTAAATCAAAAGTGAGACCTCTCTGGTGGTTTGAAATCACCACAATCAACACTCTTGGTAGCAGCAGCCAGGATCTAGAAAGATGAATTGCAATGGGAAAGTCTGCTGTCAGAGACCTCTCCAAGGTACTGGGGAGCAACGATGTCAGTCTGGAGACTAAGGTGCACCTGATCCAGGCCATGGTCTTTGCAATTACTAGCTATGCATCAGAAAGCTGGAAAATGACTAGGGTTGATAGAAGGAGAATTGATGCCTTTGAGCTGTGGTGCTGGAGAAGAGTACTGAATATACTATGAAATGCTAGGAGAACAAACAAGTTCGTCCTAGAGAGGATGAGACCAGGCTGCTCCTTGGAGGTGAGGATTCTGAAGCTTCGTCTGAAATACTTTGGACATTTTGCAAGGTGGGACCAGTCATGCTTGGGAGGGTGGAGGGACAGCACGGGAGGGGAAGGCCCTCTATGAGATGGGTAGGTATGTCAGAGACAGTAAGATTGGCACAGCATACAGCAGGGTTTAGGATTGTTGTACACAGGGTTGCTATGAGTTTCAGGCAACTTGATGGCACATAACAACAACAATAACAACAATAACAACAACAACAACATGAGTTAGTTGCAGGAGACTCGATGGAGCATAACAACAGATAACATAATCATTTCCAGGAAAAAAAATTTGCTCCGTCTAACAAACTTTGGACATGTTGTGAGGAGAGACCGGTCCTTGGAGAAGGACATCATGCTTGGGAGGGTGGAGGGACAGCACAGGAGGGGAAGACCCTCTATGAGGTGGATTGATTCAGTGACTGGGGTTATCGGGATGGAGTGTCAGAGACAGTGTGATTGGCACAGGACAGAGCAGAGTTTAGGGCTGTTGTACATAGGGTCGCTATGAGTCGCAGGTGACTCGACGGCACATAACAACATGCCTCTGTAGTCACACAATATTCTTTATAATTGACTTTCATATTTTTAATTTTCACATTTGTGTCTACAATAGATTTATGAGGTCACAACTAAATTCTTAACTATAAGTCTTCTAAAATTCACATACAAATGTATAAAAGAAATATGACCACACAAAATGCCTTTATTTACCTAAAAGCTCATTATTTTTATATTCCTAATGGGTTTTATAGAAAAAACAATCCTAGCAATTCATTTAAAAAGACTGTTATATCAATTTCACATGACATTCAATCTGGCCAATATTCTGAGCTAACATTATAATTTCCTTTTTTGTTACCAATTGCCTTCCCTGTTATGTTTGCCTCGGCTGGACTGCAGGCATTGAAAGGCATTTAGGGAGTAACTTCTACCCAAGATAGAGCTCTTTAGGAAATTGACCATGAAATAGTTACCACTCTCTCCGCAGAGTTTAACAGAACCATCTGACAATTCAGGGAATTCTGTGTTAGGAAATTCTCATTGCCCTCAAGTCAGAACCAGCTCATAGCTGACTCTCCAGAGGGTTTTTCAGAAGCTGCAAATCACACAGAAAGAGACTATTCATCTTTCTCCCATGGGGCAGCTGGTGGATTTGAACTGTCTGCCTTTGGGTTGGCAGAGAAAATCCTTACTCACTAGGTCACCGGAGCACCATAACATGATCATATTTTCACAGAAAAGCGCCAAAATGGTAAGTGACTAAAATGGAATTTTTAGATCTGTAATCTAGCAATTATATATGAACTCAATGAAAATAAGTTTAAAAATAACGAGAAAGAAAAGAAAATTAGAGGGGAGAATACTGTACAGCAGTATCTAGGTGTTTACTGAGTGGATCGGAAATTGGCATGCAAGGATCATCCAAAGATAACATGATAAAATGGGGAGTCTAAACGAACCCAAGTCCCATTGATGGAAACCAGGCAGTAAGAATCCTGGTAAAGTCTTATAGAGACAGGAGATGACAGTGGTGGTATTGGTCTGGCAGTCAATCGAACCAAATTAGATGTGTGTAGTGGGCTGTCACAGAGGCAGGGCTGGTATATAAATATATGTTATGTAACGAACAAAAGGAAACAGGAAGGCAGCCTTTAAAGGTTACAGTAGCAGTCTGAGTCCACCTGGAGGCAGCCAGCAAGAAAGACATAATGACTTACTTCTGAAAAATCCGTCATTAAACACTCCAGAGACCACAGTTCCTCTCTGACACACGCGGGGGTCCCCACGCGATGAAAAGGATTCTAAGGCAACTGAGAGTACTATGGTATTAGACACTGTTAGGTGTCCCATTCATCAAATTAGAACTCAAATAATACAGTCATCTGCAGATGACCGAGAAAGCATCACACAGATGGATTAGATCCTAGCTTAACCATTTCTCACTATCTAGACTTTGGGGAAGTGTAGCTATGGTCTCTGTCAATTTTAGCATCCACATCTACAAGATGAGGATAAAAACAGCAACTCCCACAAAGAGTATTGCTGAAAGGGACCAGGACTTGACAACATACATTGAACTTTAAGAGAAAGAAAACAAAAATCCTCCCAAATAGGATCCTTAGAAAACAATGCGATAAATGGAGAAAAGAAAAAAGTGATCAAAGATTCCATGTACTTGGATTCATAATAAACACCAAAGGATACAGCAGTCAGCTGATCAAAAGATGTGTTTCATGGGGAAAATCTGCTGCCTAGGATCTCTTTAAAGTGGTAAAACCACTTGAAAGACTAAGGTGTACATCACATAACTGAAAATTGTATATCTGATTGCTTCATATGCATGTGCAAGTTGGACAGATTAATCAAGATGCATTGATAATAATGGGTGACTGGAACGCAAAAGTTGGGAACAGAGAAGAATCAGTAGTTGGAAAACATGGACTCTGTAACAGAAATGAAGCTGGAGAGAGAATGATCGAATTTTGCACAATCAATGACTTATTCATATCACAGGAGGAGGATGTGCAGTTTCCTCCTTTGTGATTTACTGTTTCTGAAAACCCACTGCAGAGTCAGCTATGGGTGAGTTCTGACTATATGGTACACAACAACAACAACAAATAACAGCAAAGCATTCAAAGGTGCAGGGATTTGTCAGACTCACACTGAAGGCAGAGGAAAGGGCCACTGCGGACCGCACAGTCTTCACGTAAGCAAAGCAAATACAGACGTGGCTACATACCCACAGCTGGTCATCCATGCCCGGCGGGTTCTTCTTGATAAAAGCACCATAGTATGTAGCAATATTTCGGTGATGAGAATATTTCTTCAACATGTTAATCTCTTGTTTAATTTCTTCCTCTTCATCCTGTATGAGAGCAACAAACATTTTGTCAATAAATATCTTTAGTACGATTTGGGCTTTTTGTCACCATATCCATCAACTAAGTGGTAAGTTCTTTCTTCTGCTTTTTCTTCATTGGTGATGAACAGGCCCTACACTCTGGCAGCTCCGTAGTAATGAGTTGTGCTGCCAACCCAAAGGGATGCAAGTGAATCCCCGAGCCGCTCTGGGGGAGAAAGATGGGCTATCTCCTCTTGTGTGATTCATCTCCTCTGAAAACCTGTGGGATGGTCAGCCATGGGCTGGTTCTGACTCCATGGCACAGAACCACCAAATAACAAAGTTCACAGGACAGCATACTGCCAAGCCCAAGGGGTCTTCTGTTTGCACAGAAACTCACAGCATGCAAGATGCCAGAAACAACAGCATTCCTTCACCTGGATGAGACCAGCGGGCAGGCTTAGAGATAGATAGCACTTATCCCAGCCCTCTGAGGATGAGACCCACAGAAAATCTAAACCCACTGCTTCTGAAACAATTCTCACTTGCAGTAACCCTAATGGAGAGGTTAGAACTTCTTCATAAACTTCCCAAGGCTACATTCTTTGTTTCCTTTTTAGCTGAGTGAAATTTGCAAAGTAAATTAATTTTTTGTTTAATCATTCCTGTACATTTTGTCCCATAACATTGATTTCGAGGCCTGCTGTGGAATCACACGTGCTACTTCCGTCCTCCGTATAATTCTGATTTCCTTTCATTCTTTTACACCTCACTGCCTTCCCTTTCTTTGCTAATACTGTGTTGACCGTCCTCTTACTGAATACTGCCGTTCCTTCACTACCTTAATGTGTGTCTGTTAAGCATTTACTACTTTTTATTCCTCCCTATCTTCTTTTCCATCCCTGGTAAATAGTCAAGAATTATTCTGTGCAAATAGATTGAAACATCATGGTACATTCACACAGTGGAATACTATGCGGCACACAGGAGCAATGATTTTGTAAAGTATCGCCTAACTTGACAGGAACTGGAGAACATTATGGTGAGAGAATTAACTCAGTCCCAGAAGGGCAAATATTGTGTAAGACCACTACTGTGGAACGAGTATTAGGATCTTAGACAGGAGGAAGGTGGGAGCAGGGGGCTGAATATGGGCAGTGGGGGCATTAATCATAGGGTTGCACAATTTGATGGGTGAGTGGAGGGATGGGTGAAGCTAATGGCAAAGATCTGGAGCGAAAAATACTGTATATGAACTTTGTAAATAAACCAGTATACAGAGGTAACTTGTGGTGGCTGTGAAGCTGAACACTGTGACAATGATGTGTCAAATGTGAGAATAGTTACCATGGAGGACAATGTTTGGTGGAGCTCCCAGATTAAAACAAGCTTGGAAGCAGGAGTGGCATCCACTTCTGAAATAGCTTGTCTCCAGAAACCCTATGAACTTGGAAAAAGGATGAAAGTTATACAAGTGCTCAGGTCTTTCGTTCATAGGGTCGCTGTGAGTTGTCTACAACTCGATGGCACTTAACAACAACATATATGGGGAAAAAAATATAAAAATGTAGGAAAACAGGATGATTCTGTGTATAAACTTTCTTCAACTTTTTATAGTAGTTGTGTTGTTGTTGTTAGGTGCTGTAGAGTCGAGCATGACTCTTAGTGACCCTCTGAACAGCTAACGTGCCCGGTCCTGTGACCTCATCATCATCTCTAAGGCATTTGAGCCCGTTGCTGAAGTCACCATGTCAAACCATCTCCTTGGGGGGTCTTCTCCTTCTCTGACCCGCCACCTTTCCAAGCACGATGTCCCTCTCCAAGCAACAGTCTCGCCTCACTACATGTTCAAAGTATGAAAGACAAAACATCAACATCTTCGCCTCCAAGGCACATTCTGGCTGCCCCTTTTTCAAGACATAACTGCTCTTTTGGAAGCCCCTGGGACAGTCACTACTCTTCTCTAGTCCTACACGATATTTATCCTTGTGTGACTGATTTATTTCACTCAGCCTAACGTCCTCTATAGTCACGCAGGGAATGCAGTGCTTTGCCACTGTTTAATGTTTGTCAGTGTTGCTGAAGCTAGAATTTTTACAGAAACAGACCGTGACATCTTCGATCTGTGGAGCAGCTCACTGGCTCCAACCCCTAATCTTTATGCTGCAGCTGAGAAGGTAAAGATTGTGTCACCAGGGCTCCTTGGAAAACAATGTTGCTCAAGTAGCCGTCACTGACCATTCATGGTGTTGGAAAGATTCAGAAAAGTGATGATCAGTTGTTAGGCTCATTTTCTTTGGTGCCTGTTATTCTGTTGTGAAACGACCAGATAGGAATTTCTAGGTGGTATGTTCTCTGCAGCGATTACAGGAACCCAGGTGGCATCCAGTCCTTCGTTCTACATTGCTAACTAAGGTGTTGTCTCCCTGGCAGTCTGTCTCCACCACTGGCTCGTCAGGAGAAAGATGGACAGTTTCCTCCCATGTAATTTACAGACTTGGAAACTCACTCGAGCGTCAACTGCAACTCTGTGAGTTGAACTGAATCTCTTCACAAGCAAGCTTCTCCCTCAACGCTGCTGTGTGAGTTCCAAGGACAGACTTTGTGGCTAGCAGCCAAGTGCAAACCTTTTTTACTATCCAGCACCTTCCTAAGGCCACTTTTATGGAATCACCTAGACCGAAGAAAGTAAAAGTCCGAACTGAAAGAGAACAGGGTAAGTTCTGAGGAAGCTCAAAAAGCAGGCGTACCCACCTAGCATTTGGGAAGATAAACATCAAAAGGACAGGGGAGATGGAATGGTTCTGGACAACTCTTTTACAGAGAAAGGTTCTGTTTATTTGTCTTAACTATTCAGGATGCACTGAATCTGGGTTTCAATTTGAAAGTTACCAACCTGGGATATTCTAAAAGCCTACTGGAGAGTGTTTATTTTCCTATGTGTTAAATAATTTTATTTATTAACTTGGTATATATTTCTTAGAGCAGTTTGTTGTTATTGATTGCCGTTGAGTCGAGCACGACTCACAGCAACCCTATGAACAAAAGGCCTGAAGCCCCTCTACAACTATCGACATTTATCAAAGTTCATAGGGTTTCTGCAAGTTTGTTGTTTATGAAGTGGATGCCACTCCTGCTTCCAATAGGGCGGTGAGGGGTTTAAAAAAAATGCAGAAAGTATCAAGTCCTCCTCTATCCGTTCTTCCCTGCGCATTATTCCTGGATCAACTGCTTGTGTCCTCATGGGGCATTTGTTACAGTGATAAACTGGCACCAATGCACTATCATTAAGTCAAGTGTACAGCTGACATTATACTAGGATTGCTCTGTGTTGTACAGTCCTGTGGGTTTTGATAAATGCTTCACGTCAAGGGGCACCGTCACAGTATCAGGAAGACGAATTCCACTGGTCTAAAAATATTCTGCACTCTACCTATTCCGTACTTTTTATCTTAATTTGTTCATAGGGTCGCTATGAGTCATCTACGACTCGATGACACTTAACAACAATAACAACGAAAACACAGAGCTCTGTTGGCCTACTGGACAGAAAGTGAAGCTACCAAGCTCAAGGTGGGTGATTTGAATCTGCGGCCCTCAGGCCTGGTTTAGAGCGGATTTTTCCCCCCCAAACATTCTTCTAAGTCGTATAGTGCTGGTCTAGGCATTGCTGTACAGAGGTAACTCGTGGTTGCTGTGATGCTGAACACTGTGACACTGATGTGCCAAATGTGAGAATGGTCACCCAGGGTGGACAGTGTTTGGTGGAGCTCCCCGATTAAAACAAGCTTGAAAGCAGGAGTGGCATCCAACTTCCGAAATGGCTTGCCTCTAGAAACCCTATGAACAGTGCTCAGGTCTTTCACTCATAGGGTCTCTATATGGCACTAACAATAACATCAACAATGAATATATGTATATATCTGTTTCTGCTGCAATGAAAAAAAAAACACAACCACCAACCAGCCCAATACCCTCCAAGAGTACCTTATTTTTTAAGGAGGTGGAAAAGTTTCTATTTCAGGATCTTGCTTTAGACAAAGCAACAGTAATGGTCAGATCTGACCTTGAAAGTTCCAATGCCTGGACTGAATGACCAGTCACCATGTCCCTGGCGGCCTCACCGTCTCCATCTCCACAGCCTCCTTCCTACGTCCGTACATTCAACAGTCCTGACCCTTCTGAAGTCTCTCGTTTTTGTTCTCTTCTCATCACAAGATCTTGCTTTCCGGGCTTAACTGGTTCTGCCCAGGTTCTCTAAGCCCCTCAGGCAATGCCAAGCCCCCACTACCTCCTGCCACAGCCTCCATCTTCCCTTATCTCATTCTCGAAGGATGTCTTGGTATGATAAGAAGCTGGTGTCACACTGTGTCACGATGGCTCATTTAGGTTTTTTTCCTTAAGATACCTTAAGATACCTTTTTTCCTTAAGATACCTTAAGATACCAGTTCCAGAGCCCCTGCTCCGGAGAAGCCTCCCTCTTCAGCCTGACCTGGTGCCAGACCATCCTGTGGGTCACACCTCCAAAAACGGAAATCCACCTTGATCTGATGATTTGATTAAAGTCTCTTTATCCCTGACAGTCTACAATGACTGAAAACACAGGAGACCTGTCAGCCTCTGTTCTGTCTTGCCTCTTCAGCACCAAGGAAAGCGCCCTGAATAAAAAGGACTTAAAGGATCCCCGTAAAGAATCCCACCACTTTAGAGCAGCACGGTGAGGCTTGTGGAAGATGTTAAAAATAGGACAAGGAGAGCTGGGAAATGCTGACATCCGCTGATCACACAGAAATATTTCTTCATGGAAAACAATGGGGACATGCAAAGCTCGGGGAACCAGAGTTACTTTATCACGTGGCTCAATTAAGTCAAATACCAAGGAACTCTCTCAAAATAGAAGCCAGCCCTGGAGTCCTGAGCTAAAGGGGGTGGAGTGGGTGAGGAGTGGCTGTGATGGGGACAGCAATGTGGAACAGCATGCAGCTTACCTTCCTGGAAGCTATGAGACTCTGTCTATACCATC